GGCCTTACATTTGGGCATGCCCATTAGCTAATGCCCAATGTTAGCCTAGCACGCACACTAGCATAGCCCCGTGGCCAACACCTAGCATTGGCCCGACACACGTACTTAGCGTGCTTTTGACTCGGCATGCATTCCGGCTAACACCTAGCATTGCCCTAGTGTGCGTACTCTCTCTTTTCCCAAAAGTTAGTTTTTTTCTTTTATAAAATACCAAAATTATAGATTTATAATCATAATTAATCTCAATTAATAACAATACAATCAAAGATTCCACATGGTTCCTATACCAATTAAAGGAAAAACATCATATATAGGAGTAGAATAAATAAGAAATTTTTTTCTTCATCTAAACTCTCCTAAGATCATAATTGAATCATATAATTATATTAAGAGATATTAGATCATTACCTCTTGAAATGTAGTAACAAGGTAGTAGATTGAATCGTCCAAGATTCCGATCTCTAGTAAAAATCACATAGCTTAGATATTAACACAAGAGAAGCAATAAAAGAATAAGAGTGCTAGCTTTAATTTTTTTTTTTTTGTTATGAAAATTACGCACCAATTTGTTTTTTTCTTGTTATGTAATCTGCATACCTTTCTTTCTATTATGAAAGTTACACACCTTTCTCTCTCTAACGAAACTTTTGGCTAACACTACCTATTATATGTTGTGTGGTTTAATCCATCTTATTCTATTTATAAATCCTGTATTAGGCTTAATAATTTTTTCTTAAAATTTCTCAAAATGCCCCTTCACTTAAAATACACTTTACAAGTTTTCACTTAAGCCTATTGGCCCAACACCTTAGGCCTAGTGACTTAGTAATTAAATAGACCATATAAATAAGCTTGGTCAATTATTTTTAGGATTCTTAATTTTAGAAACCATTTTCTAAATTACCCTATCAATTTAGAAAACTCAATTTAGGAAACTATTTCCTAAATTATAGAAAACCCAATTTAGGAATCTATTTTCATTATTCTCTTAGTACTTAAAGAATTGAAATCATTTATTTCAATTCATATTTTCTATCATAATTCTTACTTCTCTTTATCCAAGTCAATGCCAAGCTTATGCGTATGAATCAATAAGGTTTAGATATGTTGATAATTTATCAAGAAGTAAAATATAATTATTTTATCTTTCGATACATAAACCAAGATTGACATTTAGTAAGACATCATGACTACCTAATTATCAAGAAGGATTACTTAATCTGTAACAACCTTTCACGAGTATGGTTTCCATACAATTCATTACTCGTGTCAATTTATCACGAGTATGATGTCCAACTTAGTTTGCTCGTTTATTCGATTAAAATCACACAAACTTTCTTTAATTTCTAAATGTCTTAGCTCTCAAGTAAACTAATCATTCTTTATTAGTATACTTCCACTAAGGCCACAGATTCTTGAGCGGACATTCATCAAAGTGTAATGTGATAACTCCTTTAGCATATAAAGATTAACATGTCCTATCTAAGTTTTTCATTTATCTCCTTTATATTTCGATATATCCAATGAATAACCCACATGTAGCTCTTTACCGAGCTCATCATAGTGAATGTCTAAGTATACCAATCCTCTAATAAGATCACTCTAATAACTTCAAGCCAAAGGATTACTTATACCCATCTCGTATGAGATTTCCATATACTATACTAAATGGGTTCTCATGACGAGTTATGTGTAGTAATATGTTTTTTAACATTATTCACTTGTGTACTTTCTTAGGTATCACCATACGAGTAGGTGTGAGATATTCTTCTATTATCCTATAGCAAGAGCATAACACACACAAGTCTTACCACATATTATCAATATTCAATTTTGACAATGTTATGACTTAAGATATTTAATGGTTTCATTTAAGTGCACTAGTGTTTGTTTCACATCTATTAATCAATCATCAAAGCAATGAACATCATATGTATTTCTATCTAATTCAATCAAGTTATAAATAACATGAATTAATAGAAGAACGTCTTTATTAATAAATATGCAATAATACAATATTCAAATCATCCAAACGAAGTTAGATCTTGGACACCTACACTAACACAATAAGCATATCTTTAAAATATAATAAGAAATATACAAAAGAATCATCTTAAAGTTCTTTGAAATACAAACAACTATCATAATCACTTTTAGAATAACTATGATCAATGACAAATGAGTTGAAATGCTAATATTACTTGTCTCGATAATTGCTTCAAACCATAATGGTTTATTCAATAAGTAAATATGGTCTTCTTTTTCATCAATAATAAATCTCTTAGGTTAATGCACATAAATTCATTCTTCAATTTCACCATGAAGAAAATTAATTTTGACGTCGAGTTGTTCTAACTCTAAGTCAAATAAAGCAACCATAATAAATAATATGGGAATAAAATGTGTTTTATCATAGGAGAAAAAACTTCATTGAAATCAATGTCTTTTCTTTGATCTGTAGCCTTTAGCTACCAAGCGTGCCTAGTACCTTGCACCTTCAACACTTAGAATTCTTATTTTTTCTCATAAAAATCCATTTACAAATAATAATCTTTTGGCCTTTAAGTGGTTTGAATGACTCTATTGTCCGATTCTTGCAAATAGATTAAATCTCTTTGGTCATATCAATAGTACATTAAGCAGATTCTTTGCTTATGATGGCATCATGGTGTGTGCAAGATTCATCTTATTCTTTAATAGTTTTTATCATAGCTAATTCATAAGTAATGATATCTCGCATAAGCATACTTATGGGTGCCTTAATCTATCTACTTTGTCTCTCCGTAGTACTATTGTGGTTACGGTGCCCTTATGTTGCACCTCTTTTTATTTAGACTATTTCAAAAAGCGTCTAACATATTTTTGGAAGCTTCAAACTCCAACTTTACTTGTTATTTGTTAATTTAAGAATCACCTATCTCAATAATTTTCTTTTTAAGAATAAAGTATAAAAGTTCATCAAAAGTGACAACCTATATCTTTTTACTCCTTTTTTATATACAATGAATATGCATTTATTTACTCTTGGTTTTAACTTTCTTTCTTTCACTTAAGCATAAGTTGGACATCCAAATATTTTTATAGAAGAGTAATTAGCAAGAGAAACAGATCTTACCTCATGAAGTGTCTAACATTCAATAGTAGTTGATGAGAACTATTCACCAAGTAACATGCGGTGTTGACTACTTCAGGCTAAAATTTCTTAGGCAAACCTACATTGAAAAGCTTGCAACATGCTCTCTTAGAGAGAGTTTCATTCATGCGTTCTGCAACTCTATTTTATAGTAGAGTGTGTCTAACCGTATTGTGTCTAATGATGCCTTCATTCTTACAAAGCTTGTCAAATTCTCTTGAACATAATTCTAAACTATTACTAGTCCGGAGACGCTTCACTTTCTTGCTAGTATTTTTCTAAACCTCTAACAATAACAACAAAAACTAAAATTGCTTTAATACTAATTTCTTATGAATAGTAACTTATACTCGTCCAAATTGGGTGAATGAAGTCGAACGATCACGAAAAAAATTAATGGAAAAACAAAAAAATGACATACACAAAATACCATAACAATTTAAAGTGGTTCGATAAGGCGATCATGAAAAATTTTAATGGAAAAACAAATAAATGACACACACAAAATAACATAAGAATTTAATGTGGTTCGATAAGGCGTTTTCATCCGTAGGCGAAGACATATCAAAATGGAAAAATATGAATATAAATGGTAGTAGCTCAAAACACTCAATTTTAAATTCCAACATCTCTCTACAAAATTATCGTTCAACTAATGAATAACTAATCCTAGTTATAGACTTTAAAAGGAATCTTGGAAGGGACTAGAAGATGCATGAATGAATGAAGGTGTGAAAATAGCTGAAATTGCATGAATGACTAAAGATGAATAGTAGATTCACTAAAAAGCTGTACCATATCTTCAATTTATGTGCCTACATTTTGGATGCAAGCATGCTTTTGATAAGTCAAACACCAACATTCATCTTTTCCCAACACGACTAAATTTCAATATCATCTAAAAAGTTAAAAAATTAAATTAACAAAAATAAAAGGAAAAAATCAATTGAAAAAAGATTTTTTTTAGTAAAATAAATATGATAAAACTTGAAAAGTTTAGTTTATCAAGAAATTCTTAAATTATACAAACTTAAAATCTCACTTATCAACATCATATTTTTCTTTGTCAAAATATTAGTTAAACAAAAATTAAGATTTAAATGAATTTAATTCTAACTGATGTCTAACTTGTCTTATTCTCGTTCTACCATTTCAAATCATATGAGATTTCAATTTTTTTTTCAAAGTTCTTGTTCAAAGCAAATTTTGATGGAAAATTGAGTAAAATGCATAGATATGATATGTTAATTAAAGAGTGTTTGTATGAGAGACAATACAATTAAGGGTTGAAGTTATTGTTGTAGTATTTATTATTATTATTATTATTATTTATTCTATTTATTTTTAGTTTAATCTGATTCTTGTATTGTAAAATTCCTGTTTGATAATCTTAATGAAAAAAAATCATATTTTATCATATTTATTTTACGTTATAGTCAAAGCCACGGTGGACACACTAAAGTTGGTATAACATAGAGCCGATGAATTAGGACTGTAATTAAATGAAAAAATTATAAAAACTTAACAAAAATTCATACAGTTAATTACTTAAATTGAGGCTGTCAATATTAATGCAATTAAATAGCTATTAATGTGTAGGATTCTCCTTTCCTTCCCAATTTTCAATATTTCCAACAATGGACTGCTCATACTGTGTAAGAATAATCGAGCACATATAGCATGTGAAAAAAGGCATATTCCAACGCAGGATAAAAGAGAGAGAGAGATAGAGATGAAGGTCAAAAGGAAGATAAAAAAGAAAGTAAACTACCTAAAAAAGCAAGTTGATGATAAGGTTTACAAAAAATCAGTGGCATAGGTTTCTCTTTCTTTTCTCCATCAAGAAGAAGCAAGTTCAATAAAACGAATGGATGGAAGGTCTTCAACTTCAACTTCTTGCTCTTCATCTGTGAGAAAAGATTCAAAAGGTCACGATAAAGCTATAGAGTTTGCTTGCAGTACTTGTTTATTCTGTGTTTCTTGCCCTCTTTCTATCGTTTCGTGTTGCATCAAGCTGCCTTGTAAGATTGGATGTAAAGCTGCTGGGCAAGCAAAGAAGCGCTTTACTTGTTGCAGTCCTCGTGGATCAGTGAAGAAAATCTATGCATCATATTCATCATTTTCGGACATGGATGATTCTAATAGTCTGCCAAGTAAAGTAGGTAATCTCCGTCGCATATGTTCTTCTGGGTCATCGACAAGTAGTATGTCACACAAGGACGAATGAATTGAAATCTACAAGGTCTGTGACAGCAAGCTGATAAATTATTGACATTTTTGTTTCTGTTACCACAGCTAGCTACCTGATCTCTTCTTCAAAGTTCCCTTCTCACAAACTTTGATGGGTTAATTGCTAGAGTGTTACTGTTTAGAATCTCTGGATCATATATATCGTGGCAAGTTTTTTGACCTAATTGTTGTGTTCGCTTCATTTTTGTTCTTAATTTACTTTTTTGCTATTTTTTTTCTTTTCTTGATTCATTATATAAAAATTTGATTTTGTAATATCTAAAGAAACTCAAAGGAAATAATATACTTCCCATCTTTTTCAAGGAGCCGAGGAATTGGGGGAGGTTGAATAATTTATTTTAAAAAATTGACGGAAAAGAGAACAAAAGGTTTGGTAAGGCAACAAACACTTTAAAGCGTGAGCAGATTCAGAGTGGAATCATCCAATGATTTGTATTCCACTAAAATTAAAAGTAAGAAGAAACAAACGAAAGTTATCATTGTTACACTGTGCATGGAGAATAGCCTGGATGTGAACTTAATTGTACCCAGTTCCCATTTTCTTCTGTTTAGCAGATTCCTCGCAATTATATTATGGGGAAAAGTGGTGTACTAAATTAAATTGTTTATGTTTGCCCTACCATTAACTAGTTTGTTTGTTTTTTATTTAACAATAAGTATATATATATTTTTTATTAGTTTGTATATCGATAGGGATTAAATTTTTCGGGAGATGATATTAAAAGCGCTTCTTCTTATAGGTTAATTTGGTGCATTAAAAAAATAATTTTTTTTAAAAAATTACTCGATTCAAGATTTGAACCCAAATAGGTAAAATAAATAAATAAATAAATAAATAGCATTTTTTTTTTAATTACTGGACCAACACCGAAAGGTTACCTACTATTTACTAGTACTATTGATTTAGTAGGAGAAAAATTGATGATAATGTTGTGGATTGCACTTTATATTTTACTCTTCTTTTTATATATATATATATATTACTCTAATCGATATGGTCTAAATATACTTATCAAGTTCTTATTAAAATATAATAAGAATAAATATCCATATTATGATCAGTATTTAACTTGGTCAACTAAAGATAAATAAAATAAAACAATTACGTTCAAATGGTATCCAACTTTATTGAACAAGTTAGATATGTATAAACTACTGTTAAATTTAGTTTTGGTTCTGGATCTAATAAGAATAATTGATCAAAAAAGAAAAAGAAAAAGTGTGATTCCTACAGCAAAAAGGGTAGAACGTTTTAATTAAGAATTGATAAAAACGAGGTCAATTGTCAAGAATGGGATTCGAACCCATGCCCTTTCGGACCAGTACCTGAAACTGGCGCCTTAGACCAACTCGGCCATCTTGACATTGATGATTCCACATTAGAATTATCTAGGTATAAACTATATTAAACATAAAACTAACTTGAATTTATACCAAGCCACAAATTAACGATGAAAATAGTTTTCCATTAACATAAATTGTATTCAATCCCAACAATTTTTTTTCATTTATTTAACATAAGTTGTTGGCTACGGTTTTGCGGTCTTAATCTCCTTTAAGGACAACTATTACGTCTATGCTTGGTGTATCATGTATATATGTACTGCATTGGAGAGAGATGCATCATACACATGCAAGAGACAAATTCCAAAGTTATCATTATTGGTTAAAGCTATTACAAATGGACTTCAACATTCTCTTCCATGATACTGGAATCTATAAAATCTCCAAGACAACAAAGACCACTGTTGCTTTGAATTTCTGAAGAACCATTTCACCCCTTCATATGAGTGTACAGAATTAAGCTGAAGCTACCTGCAGCTAGGCGCCTGCAAAAAGCTGGAGTTTTCTAGCTTTGTATGGTATATATGAGAAGTAAGAAATTTTATCCACCACAAGCTGCACCACATCCAGCTGCACATCCTCCGCCATAGACGGTCGAATCAACTTCAGATGATTTGTCCTTTGATACACCATCTGCACAAGAGAAGATTAAGGCTGAAAGTAGAGAGAGGGTCAGCAAAACTGCCCACAAGAGTACTACAAGACAAGAACCATCAATACCACCACTTCCATCCACAATGAGCACCTCTTTCAAAAGCCTCACCATCGATCTCTCAAAGTGTATATATGTTGGGTCAGGTTGTATGTCTTTTGGTGTGGCAAGTAGGAACTAAGCGCAGCACCAAGAGAGGTACTTATATACTAGTCTATCAGACAAGGTCAATGTCATACACTCTCCTTTGGGCCGGATTCTAGCTTTATGTGATTCTCTATGTAAATTACACTAGAGTTGGCAGGCAAAAACATCAGAACTTTAACATGAAGATAGTGGGTCAACACAGCAACCACTATAAACCATGTAAAATGGTGTTGCATATGCTCCCACTTTTTGTTCTCACTATAGCTATGATGATTGTGCTCAAAAACTAACATCTCACCCCAATGGCCGCATAAATTTGTGACAGCTAAATCCTGATCGTGCATTCGTAGTGAGGTCTGTGGCCTCCACTTGCCATTCTTCAACTTGGGCACCAATTTTCACCAGCTGCTGCTACATAATAATTTATATTTAGTAATGTTGACTTGGGGAGGTTGCAACTGGCGGGCTAAGTAGTGGAACCCTATTCATATTCAGCCTATTACCAATTAAACAATACTTTTGACCAATATATATATATGTAAGTATATACATAGCTTATTAGCTTGTGGAAGCCAATTAGGATTTGGGAATAGGTTTATTTTCTTGTATCATTATTGGAAAACTCCAAAAAAAGTGTTGGATCTTCATAAGTATTAGTTGGGTATCTACATGTGACTCTCTTTGCCATCAGTACAAGCACCATTACTAGTTTTAAACGTTAATATGAGTGGGAACCGCTATATCTATCCATAATTTGTCGTTGTGGATTTCCTAGCTACAAGCTAGACATGATGTTTCAGAGTCCACAATATTACTCAACCACTTTGGAGTTCCTACTATAAAATTGTATCAACCAAAACAATATTTCTCAAGCATTTTGCAGGAATATTATTGAATTTAGCATTTTATTAGTTGGGATTTTTGAATTTTAATATTATGTTTTACTTTTACTTTATGTTTTTTAATAAATCTACGCATAAATTTACTTTCCATGATACATTTTTTATAATTTAGTGCTCGGTATTGTTATGTTCTTAAAGTATCGCTGTTTTTATTTAATTTTGATCTAAAAATAGTGTTTGATTAAAATTCACTAAAACTACACACATCATGTATAAAAAGAGAAGTGCATGTAATTTCTATTGTTTATTTTAGGATTTATTATTATTTTTAATTATATATATTTTTTAAATTACAACACATAATTACCAAACCTTGTATTTACTAATATTATTTTTATTTCATAGTTTAACATTATCAATAAAACTAAAGAAAAACGAAAAAGTGTTATAGTACTTTTATTGTGGATTGACCGTTCACTCTTTCCTTTTTTTTTCCCCTTCGCTTGCTACGGTCAAGGCCTCAAACTTTATTTTTATTTTAATCCATGTTTTATAATTTTTTTATTTTAATAATTAAAATTTTGTTATATTTGATTTTTATCCCTATAATAAATATTAAAATTTTATTATAGTTAATTTTTGTCTCTATAATAAATACTTATTTCTTGACTTTTTAATTAGTTGTTCACGGTTAGTGTTTTTTTCGCTTGCTGGAGCCAAGGCCCTCAAACTTTATTTTTATTTTATTCCTTGTTTTGAAACCTTTTTTATTTTGGTCATTAAAATTTTATTATATTTGATTTTTTTCCTATAATAAATATTAAAATTTTATTATATTTAATTTTTATCTCTATAATAAATATTTTTTCTTTGGCTTTTAGTAAAAAATTATGTTCTTTTTTATTTCTATTCTATGATATGTTTTTATTTTAGTCATTAAAGTTTTATCATGTTTAATTTTTATCATTACTATACTAAAACTAAATAAAGTTTCACTATCCTAAGCTTTTTTTTTTTTTTGGCTTTTAGTGAAACTTTTCTTTCTATAATAATTTCTGTTTTGTGATTTTTTTTTTGTTTTGGCCATTAAATTTAGTAAAATTTTATATTTTTAATCCCTATTTTGTAATTATTTTTTATTTTGATTATTAAATTTGTATTATATTTGATTTTTTTTCCTACAAGGAACTATTTTTTACTTTTAGTAAAATTTTTTTGTTATGTTTTGGTTTTTATTTTGTGATCTTTCTTTTATTTTGGTCATTAAATTTTTATTATATTTGATTATTATTCTTTCTACACTAAAATTAAATACGAGTTTCACTATTCTAAGTTTTTTTTGGGCTTTTAGTCAAAAACATTTTTTGTTTTGGTTTTTATTTTATGAATTTTTTTATTTTGCTCATTAAAATTCTATCATATTGTACTTTTTTTCTGTCTTATGTATAATGAATTTTTTTAGTCTTATTGTTTAATTTTTTTTTAGTGAAAGTTTGTTTTATTTATTTTGACCCTTTTTTTAATGATCTTTACTTTTTTTTTTTATCATTTAATGTTTATCGTGTATAATTTTATCTCTATTTTTTTTTTTTGTCAAATTCTTGATTTGACAAAGCTTTTTGTCCTTTTGTTTTGGGTGGTCTCTCTATCTCATTAACAAATTATAAATGAATAATATATGGTAAAAATTAATCATTTAAAATTTAAAAAACTACCACATCATTACTTTAATTACCAATTATTATATGTATTTTTAATAAAATACATGTTTATATTAAATAATATCTAATTAGCAATATTATATTACTCAACTTTGCGGACTTTTCGTTTAGCTAACCTACTGACAAAAAATGAGATACATGTTTTGTTTTGTTTTTTAATTTTTTTCGCGCGATCCTTTTAAATAATTATTTTTAAATTTTAAATTTTATATAAATGAATACATAAGAATATTGTATAGCTTATCTTGCGGCAACACATGAGATATATGCTAGTGCCAACAAGTAACAATACTAAGTAAAAAAGAAAAGAAAAGAAAAGAAAGTATCCTATGTATCATATTTGTTGATAATTTGGGGGAAAAAAGAAAAAAAAATCAACAAAACATGGATGCCCCATCTCTCCAATATGTTATTTTGCATAATTTTATTCTCAAAGCATGTTAAAAATAATTTTCAAAAATGGTATGAAAAATAGAACCACAAAAGGATAAGTAATGAGCACAAATATAAAATTCTTTATATGGTTCACCTAAGGCTAAACCATAGGCGAAGAAAGCTTCAACGATAAAAATTGCCTTCAAACTATTAAGTTGTGATAATTTAAAACTCATATTATTCATTTGGTCTATTTAAACTTTAAACTATTTTTTTTTCTAAGCAAATGTTATCTTTTCTTCGCTATTTATAATGGTAAAAACTTTTACCATTAATTAGAATATAGTTTAAAGATAAAATTTACTCTTAAACTATTAAAGTTGTGACAAAATCAAACTTATATTATTAATTTGGGTTATTTGTACTATAAACTATTGGTTTTTAGACAAATTGTATCATTCGTCATTATTTCGACAATCAAAATGTTCACTGTTCCATTTTTTATTAAAAAATTAAAATTAATTTTAATTTTTTTAATAATAGTTAGTTTTAAAAAAGTTTAAATGATTTTATTATTTATAGATTTAATTTTTTTATTGGATAATTAATGGCGTATAATGTATCCATAAGTGAAGAAAAAGAAAAGAGAAGAAATGTTGAGTATGAAATTTTTATTCTTGTTCATATTTACACAGAGTCAACTTTGCCAATTTATGATAACAAACTACAAACTAAGCACCTTAATTTATATCCACATGATCAGATGTTTACACATTTTCTTCTTTAGTGGGAAAGAAGTAACATTTTATCTGACTTTCTTCTCCTTCACTGGCCCTCTTGGTATCTTGTTAAGAACATTGGAATCAAACCTTCTAAACATTTTCTTAACTTGTCGAATCAATTCTCCAGCATACTTGTCAACCTCATCCTCATATTTATTATAGAGAAATGGCAGAGTTTGCAAGCAAACAAAACCTTGGCACACAAGAAATCAAATTCATTAGTCCCATAAGTAAGCTCAACATCATGCAGGGATAGGTAAGTATATATTTAATTAAGTAGGCAGATGCCAGCAATTTCTTACTCACATAGATAAAGGAAATTCAAGAAGGTGAAATAGTTTCCGATCACAGATAATATATAGAGACAAACGATTGCCTGATAACAAATACAGAAAATGAAAAGAGATTAACGTTAGTCATGTGGTAGTTGATCAACAATTTATTTCAAATTAGAATGATTATGCATGGTTATTTTACCATGAAGAAGAGCGCTGGTTCTTTTCCACATGCAATGTCAATGAACTTTGACAAGGCCTGATTGACTATTTCATGGAAGGTGAAAGCAAATTCATCGAATGCAGATTTGTCTAAAATCCTTCTTGGGATCTCAGGAGGGTTCCTGAAATATATATAGTTTATGCTTCAATCCAAATGCAATGGCTAAGAATAAATTTAAGACATATATATATATATATTGGGACTGCACCTTAATTTGTTAATTTGTGATTAAAAAAAAAAAATCTTGCTGGTAATTAGTATATATAATATAATTAGGAAAATCATAAGGGCAAATAATTTGTATTATATATACCAATTAAAAAATTCTGCGCTGGTGCACCATATGAAGACAATTAGCATTGCTGTGATGGAGATGTGACAGAAGAGAGTCACAAAATTGTATTCCACAACCTCGAAAAGAAACCACAATACAGTCATTCCAATCGAAAGTGCTGCTGATACTTTTTTGTCTTCCCATAGCAATACATCAGCAACTGCAAATTCCAACAGCCAAGTTTAATAAAATATGCTCATTTTGTGATGAAAAAACAGAGTAAATGCGAAATGAAGAGAATAACTTTGTTGTATATAATCTAACATGAGTACTTTGTCTTACTAGTAGCTAGAGTGGACGCAAAAATATTATATATCTACCTTGTCCCTCTCCTAGAACAGCACGTATTGGTCTTTTCCGCCCAAAAAGCTTTGTCTGTGGCATTGTTTCATCTTCCGAATCCGAAAAGTAAATCGGCATGCTTGTGATCCTTAATTAGAACTGAAAATAACAACTTCCTTTTCGTCTATTTTTTTCTATAAGAAGGTGAAATAATTAGTGGATGTGTGCTGATAAAATTTGCAGCAGCTGCTTATATATATAGATACGCATGATCGAAGGGGTTCTAAGCTTAATGGTAAAGTAAAGTGGTCATGAACAAGTAAGGTATGGCTTGGGGCTTGGCCTTGAAGGTTACTTTGCATAGCCGCTACTGATGTTAACAAGAGAAGTGTGGAATCTGCATGTTATACCACACAAAGAAGAATATCAGTTCCTGGCAAGCTAGGCCAAAAAAATATATATATATATTTTTCTAACCAAAGCTTGGCAATTGCAAAAAGCATCTGCCTGCCAAGCTAGGTCAAAAATAGACCAAAGATGCATCTGTTTGCAAATAACAAAATGCTACTACAACATTAGCTAGGTCGGTCCATCGAATCTTAAACTACATGATATCAATATATAATCCTTTCTTTACTAATTAATTTATTTCTTTAAGCAAAATTTGATCATCTTTAGACATTTGATGTAATGCTAATTAGTTTTATGAGTTAACTAGTAATTAACCTATCTGGATCCTTCATTAATTTGGATGATGAAAGCTATATCATAGTGATTTGGTAGTTGTTTTCTGATAAAATACGTTGATAATTTATGAAATTTAGAGATAGTTAATCTAAGAATTGAAAACTTTAAGGATTAAAGTGAAATATTTGCTACACTACATAGACTAAAACATAATTTTATCCAACTGGAAATGAAAACAAACAGATGATCTCAGCACAAGAAGAAACAAGAACACAGCAACAAAAAATAAGGTTTCTTGAATTGAAAATACCAACAACACTGCTTTCTCCACGACATCAAACACTTTGAACAACAATGGTTGATCCTCCCATTTGTCTTTCAGAATCCATTCAAAACCTCCCAAAAACCCACAAATTTCAAAACCTCAAATCAGTACTAAATGCTTTCAATTGGGTCTCTCTACCTCTCCCTCAAAAGCCCTCCAAAACCTCTAAAACCCCCAAAAATCCCAAAACCCATTTGCAAGCTTTATGTAACAAAAGCAATGGCAGGATCAAAATTCACTAAAGTTTCAAGCTTTGAGTTTAGGGACTTGATGGAGACTTTTGTAGTGGATGTTAAGAGGGCAGAAAATAGGCCATTGAATGTGCCATTGATTGCACCTTTTACAATAGCCTCATCAAGGCTTGATAAAGTAGAAAATGTTGCAGTTAGGATTGAATTGAGTGATGGTAGTGTGGGGTGGGGTGAGGCACCGATACTGCCATTTGTTACTGCAGAGGATCAGTCCACTGCTATGGTTAAGGCTAGCGAGGCTTGCGAGTTGCTGAAGAACAGTCCATCGTTGACGTTGGGCTCGGTTTTGGAGAGAATTTCTGAGATTCTTCCCGGACATGAGTTTGCTTCTGTGAGTAGAATTGAGGGTTTTAGTTGTTTTTTGGTATTTGCGATTTGAACTACTTGTGGTTTTTATTATTAGTTATTTATGGTTTTGTTAATTTGGTGACTGCTTGTTTTATTGAGTGTTTTGATTAGGAAGGAGACTATTTGGTTTATTGATTTTTCAGATTGGGTTTATATGATGTCTGTGTTACTCTATAAAAAGTAATGATCTTTTGTGCATATGCTTTGGTGACGTTAAAATACAAATATTTGCTTAAATTTTGAGACTGATATGATGCTAAGATTATTGGTGTAACTTCACGAGCATTTTTATGGATATTCCTTATCTTATTTAACAATCTTGTGCTGGAAATTCTCAGCATTTGAGTAAAGTAATAAAGGTTTGCATCGTCAAGGAGCATAATGATATAATCTGGTAATTACTGCTTCTGATAGCTTGTAGTTCTTGCTGTTGAATTACAAATTTAGTAATGCAGTTAAAGATAACTGTGTACTGGTATTAATTTTGGTTAAACACCCAACGGATATGTGAAACTTGTATGCAAATTACATGTGATAACATTCTGCTGGTATGTGTCATTCTTATTCTGTTTTATTCTTTTAGAATCTTCATCTTTAAAATAAAAGGGATTTCTACTGCTTATTGAACTTTCTTCTGCAATTGAAGGTTAGAGCAGGAGTCGAGATGGCATTGATTGATGCAGTGGCTAAAAGCATTGGTGTACCTTTATGGAGTTTATTTGGTGGAGCTTCTGATAGCATAACCACTGATATAACAGTTCAGTGCATTTTTTGCTGATTCTTCCCTAATAGATGCTTATTCTTTTGGCTATTAATGATTTCACCATTTTCCTTTCTGTCTTTTATAATACATTTCTCCTTTCAAAAGCCACTTAGGGCTCATCTGAAAGTGGGGAAGGGTATGTTGTGTCTCCTGCTCCACATTCTCTGGTTTACCAGGTGTGGTAGAGAAAAAAGTGGATTTTCTTGTTCCCCTGTGCAGTGCAACACAGCTTTTTGCAATTATGTTCATTTTGGAGCACATGCCAAATAGACTCATGATGCAAGTTGTGCTTTGGCATACTTAATGCATTGGCTATGAAATATGGCCTTATATATATTATATATATATGCAGATTCCAATCGTATCTCCAGCAGAAGCTGCTGAATTGGCTTCGAAGTATCGAAAACAAGGATTCAAAACTTTAAAGTTGAAGGTGGGAAAGAACCTGAGGGAGGACATAGAAGTTCTTCAAGCTATACGTTCGGTCCATCCTGATTGCTTATTTATCTTGGATGCTAATGAGGGTTATAAACCTGAGGAAGCTATTGAAGTTCTTGAAAAATTGCATGGTAATTACTTAGTGATGTTGGCTTATTTATGCTAGCTTGTCAACAGACTAGATATGAAGAGGAGATTCTTGGATTACGTCTGAACTCTCTCTCTCTTTCTCTTTAATATAATCGCACGTCTTCCAATTTCAATTTAGGCTTCTCTGATTGGTGAAACTAATTTTAATTTTCTTCTTTCTTTCAGAAATGGGAGTAACTCCCATTCTTTTTGAACAACCAGTTCACAGAGATGATTGGGAAGGTCTTGGTCATGTTACTCATGTCGCGAAAGGCAAATATGGGGTTTCTGTTGCAGCAGATGAGAGTTGTCGTAGTTTAGTTGATGCAAAGAGAATAATAACAGGAAATCTTGCAGATGTCATTAACATTAAGCTTGCCAAAGTTGGTGTTGTTGGGGGACTTGAAATTATTGAGGAGGCAAGGACGTCAGGATTGGATCTGATGATTGGTGGAATGGTTGAGACCAGACTAGCCATGGGCTTTGCTGGTCATCTTGCTGCTGGCTTTGGCTGTTTCAAGTAAGAAATATGAAGTTATGATCCTTTGTTGAAAAAATTTACATAATTAGCTTATTTGTTCTCAGTGACCATCTAGATTAAGTGATTTTCTGCTTCTTAGTTTAGCTGCATGTGGTTCAATTTAAATACTCCTTTTTGATCGATTGAATTGCAAAATCTTTTGTGAAGGTTTGTTGACCTGGATACACCCCTTTTACTGTCAGAAGATCCTGTCCTTGAGGGTTATGAAGGTATTTAGCATTGCTTTTCAAATATGTAATGTGAATCATTTTGGTTTCTATGGGCCAAACAAGTTGTTGTTCTGCATATAATTGCTTGAAATTGATGTTTTGATGGTGCTTTATGTTTTTCCTTTTTCCTTTTGCTAGTATCGGGTGCTGTTTACAAATTCACTGATGCTCAAGGGCATGCTGGTGTCCTTGATTGGGACAATGTTTTATGGTAAGTTTTATTCTTACCATCTTGAACAAAAGTAACATGGTTTATCATTCTGACGTTTAGAATGTTTTATACAGTGTAATATCTGAAAATCATATTATCATCCAGATAACATTACGAGGATGATGGTCACTTATCTTTGTCTTCAATTTTACAATTGTCTATAATATTGTTGTCGGATATGAGCATGTGGCTAAATCTATCAAAATATGGATAGCTTTAGATCCATCAACTAAATTTGCTTAGAAGCAAGTGCAGGTGTATGACTTAGATAATCATTATCAAAGAGCATGATTACTGGAAAATAACCTTATCGGTTTCTCCTAAAATTAAAGAAATCTAAAATAAAACAACAAACAGCATGGTATTGCAAAGTAGATTTCCTAATGGTTACAATGCCAAAGTAGATTTCCTAATGATTGCAATGCCAAAATTACATTTTTTTCTCTTATTTGGCATTTTGAATTGCTCGCTCTTGAGGTGCATGTTGCTTTTTCTCTCAGAGGCATTACTGCCTCCGCTAGAAAATGTGTGTGCATGTGTATAATTTGGGAAGCATCACAGGCTTTTAGGGATCACACTAGTTATCTGTATGTTAGGGCAAGCATTCATTTCAACTTTGTGAGATATTTGGTTCATTTTGATAATTTTACAGAATTGGACCAAACGGGAAAGAGAACTGAATTGATCTAAGCAGTTTGGTATTCCGTTTCTCTTAGAAGCACAAAAAGTTATTGGAATACTTTGGAATCTCACATCCAGCTTGAATGTAATGAGTCCCTTCCACAATGCTCTTTGCAGATATGTTACTATGTTGCTTTAATGGACAAATTGCACAGAGAAAATCACATTTCAGAAAGAAAATGAAAAAACCTGGTCTGCACCTTCAGATCATGATGTATGTCTAATTTATTTGGCTGTATTTCGTCCTTTCAGGGGTAGAAAACATGTGTATTTATTATTTTACTTCAAAACAAGATTTATATTGTTATTATTTAGGACTTAATCTAAATAGGAAATATAAGTAATTATCAAATACAAGGAACAGATTATACATTATTGGAAATAGAAAATTTCATAATGTCATTCTACTTGTAATACGATAAATGGAGTAATTTATTCGAGTTAAATAAAAATATCCCTTTCTTGCAAGATTAAATGAAGGATGGAACGAAATTCTCAGTTCCTTCTATCTGAACAGATCGAGAGTAGACACTAGATTCTTTTGAGCGCCAAGTGCTAATGTGCTAACCAAAGAGAATTGGGGAAAATATAAGGAAACTGAATGCATGTTATAATTTCATTCAACTTAAAATCTACCTTCAAGGGTGAAGATGGAGCAAATAATTTCACTAAATGGGAAAAAAAAAGGAAGTAAAAATATAGAAGAGGTTCTCTCTCAGAGTCCCAAATCCCACATATACCAAAATTCACAAATTTTCTCTCAGCTCTTTTGTTACAAAATTCTTTCCCTCTTGATGGGGCGCACTCTAGCAGAACAAGAGTTTCTGCTTTCTACCCTTTCATGCATACAAGGTCTAGTGCTTACTAAAACATAATAGTTATCAGTGCAAAATAACCAGCGAAATTTCCAGTCACATCTTAATGCATTTTTAATCCTTGAGCATGCCAAACTTGCATAAGAAATCCCATCGAGAGCTAGCAAATCATGGCTAGTAATTAGCTTTCAGCAGTCAGCTCATCAAAATTTTGACTGATGTCCTAATCATAAGAGACTTTGTCTTTTTTATCGGTGTTGGTTTTTTGTCTATTTTCATGTGTATTTGCTCTTATATTTCTGTAGATAACTGATGTCTCTCCAGTCTGTAAACCTTAATTAAATCAAGATGAACTTAGGCTAGAAGAACTATACTACTCTGGTGCACATATGATGAATTATAAATGAAATGACATGCGAGGACAAAAATGAATGCTTTTCTATGCACACATATCACACACACGATTTGGTCTGTCTCTTATTGCTTTTGGTTGTGGTGTTGAGGTTGTTGTGTTGATATAGAAGTTCTCTGTGAATTCTCCTAGTGTTTTTTTTTTTTTTTTTTTTTTTTTTTAAAAAAAATGGTACTTCTTCCTGCAAAACTGGTTTGCTGCCAAAAGCTTAACTAATATGTAGTGATTAGTGACTGAAAAACTTGTGACCACACAGCAATTCTAGATAGACACTTGGTCAAGGCCTAGAGAATAGGAAATTCCATGATTTTTGTGGTAGACAACTGTAAAATCTGTGGAATTTGTTAAAGTGAGCTAATCATTGTGAAATCCTTATCCTTATTATTCACTAGAAATTTTTGACTGAAGTTAGAAATGATATAAAGAGCTTTAGCAAACAGTGAATGAGCAAGCATGAAGATTGAAAGGTGAATGTGCTATGATTTTTAAGGACCCACGTAATGATTTCAAGCACTCTGATCTTTGACTCAGAGTGGACCTCATAATCCAAGTAGGACCGGAGAGGATTCATTAACACCTATTTGTCACTCTTTTACTCATAAACATGGTAATAGTATCATATTCCACTATAGAATTGAAGGGGATTATAAACATATTTTGGCATGCTTAGATATGATTGTAAGTACGGGGTCCTTGTTGGCTATTGATAAAGCTTTTTGTCATCTTTAAACTAGTCTTATCTGATCATGATACAGAGAAGGCTAATTTACTGCATTTACAGGATTCGTCAATTTTAAGTTTAACCACTCTACATTAACCCAATGATTAATGATGGCCAAAAGAAAAAAACAAGGTGCATATGCAACCGAGACTTGATTAATGATTTGTTTTAACTGTTTTACTGTTGTGTTTGTTCAGATGGCTGTACAACATCTTCCCATTGCGATCTTGTTTGGTGAGAACTTTAAGTTTGGATCTGCTCAAGACCACCTTTTTTTCCATAAGTGGGCTTGACTCCATGCATTGAGGTTGAAGCTATTGTCTCTCTCTCCCTCTCTTTTTTTTTTTACTCCCATACAAAGGTCAAGCATGCTTAACGAGACCAAAAAGAAAAAACGAAGAAAACGAGGTCATCACTGCCTTGGCCATGCCAATGTGTTGCTCATCTGTGTGAAAACTGATAAGCCTGGTGATGGGATGATTAGTGCAGTGAATATTTGTTCTACCACTGCATTTAACCTAAATGTTTAATGATTGCCAAAGAAAAGGAAAAAAAAAAAAAAGGGTAGATGTGTATGTGAGACACCTAATGAACTATCCAGCTATTATTAACATTGCATTTGTTAAAATGGCTGAATTTCGGAATGCACCTCCCCTTTTTAATTGGTGATCTTATTTTGTGAAAAAGATATTTTAATTCGCATTGCTTGCACACTTCATTTTCTACAAATGGGTTTGACTGAATGGTGAACCTTGACCAACATTTTAGAGTTTGTTCACAATCAGATACAAGGTTGATTGCAATATATTCGTAAAGGGATTGGTGAATCATTTTTCTTTAGCCGTAGTTGCAAAGATTTGCTTTGTTTTCCACCGAAACAGAGAAAACCCTTTATTCATTTCAAGAGATCTGGGATGAATCCTGTGTATCAAATAATTGGAAAGCTTAGTGGCGAAAGCAGGCGCCTACAAAGGCCAAAGGGCGGTTGCTTTAAGCTTGCTGATTTGCACTCTTTTTTACAAAACCTCGAGATTCTGGTTGTTCACAAACTCCAACCACAATATTTTACCCTAGCTGCTTCACTTCTATATATGCTTCTCATCTTTTGTTATTTTGTTTGTTATTATTATTATTTTGAGTTTGGATTTAAATTCAGTTCAATGTAAATTTGTCTAGAATTGAGTCTGAATCACCATTGGAATTAGTTTTGATTATTTTAAGTCTCATTTGAAGATAAATTAGGTGGCAAAATGCATTAAAACTCACATTTTGAGTGATGTTGTTGCGGAACGAATCCATTTAGACGAGCTTTTTCAAATAATCCATGCATATAACTAGGAATAAATTATAAATTAGTCCATTTAGTTTTGAAAATCAAATTAATTAGTCTTTTTTGTTTCAAAAATTAATTATTTAGTCTTTTAATGAGCATTGATTATGTTGAATTTAAGATTATTTTATTTTAAAAAATGTCTTTTTTCCTCATTGATGTTTCAAGGACATCTATTATTTTTTCTATTTTCTATTTAAAAAAATAAAAAAGAACATCAAATGAATAAAATGTTAAATAATTAGTTTTTAAAATAAAGAGACTAATTAACTCATTTCTCAAAATTAGAAGGACTAATTTATAATGTATACATAATTAGCTGAATAGCGATGGCAATTTGCCATGTTTCGATGGAGCTCCGCCTTGTTTTATCTCGATCAACGTGAGGATTTCTTGAGTTGATTGGAAAACATGATCGGGTGGCTTTGCCTCGTATTTATTTTGGATAAGGAACGAGGTCGAGATGATATTTGAATGTCCTACCTCGTTTGTTACATTATACTCTGAAAAGTATAATTATACATTATATAAAATCTGTGATTATTGATTTTTAAGATTTGTTTTTTATTTGAAATATCATTTTTTTGTTATAATTTTAAATTTGAGTAATAAACAGAGACAGGATGAGGTAAAAACAAAAAATTAAATGAAATATGGATACCTCATAGAGGATTCTCCGTTTTCCTTTGGAGCGAAGATGATATAAGAAATATTTCCTTAAGCAAAATTTTCAGAATCGAACAGAGCCGGAGATGGTCATCCTCGCCTCCGCTTTGCCCCCATTGTCATTCCTACTAATGAAGGCAACTTTCTGCTGCAACAAGCACATATTAGGAAGTAGGATAACAAGAATATAATCATTATGAGAGATAACAATAATGATTACTTAGACTTTGGAATTCTAAAATCCAAGTCAAATTGATGATGAGAACATGTGGCAGCACAAGGAGAACTGTAAACCGGACAAAATACTCAATCATCATATAAGAAGAAAAAAAATAGAGGCTACTCATAACTTTTAGGTTGTGTTGTACTTAATAATTTT